TGGGGAGGTGCATGAGGCAGTGTGTGGGGAGGTGCATGAGTCAGTGTGTGGGGAGGTGCATGAGTCAGTGTGTGGGGAGGCGCATGAGGCAGTGTGTGGGGAGGTGCATGAGGCAGTGTGTGGGGAGGTGCATGAGGCAGTGTGTGGGGAGGTGCATGAGTCAGTGTGTGGGGGTGGGGCATGAGGCAGTGTGTGGGGAGTGCATGAGGCAGTGTGTGGGAGGGGCATGAGGCAGTTGTGTGGGGAGGTGCTGAGGCAGTGTGTGGGAAGGTGCATGAGGCAGTGTGTGGGGAGGTGCATGAGCAGCATGTGGGGAAGGTGCATGAGGCAGTGGTGTGGGGGAGGTGCATGAGTCAGTGTGTGGGGAGGTGCATGAGTCAGTGTGTGGAGGAGGTGCATGAGTCAGTGTGTGGGGAGGTGCATGAGGCAGTGTGTGGGGAGGTGCATGAGGCAGTGTGTGGGGAGGTGCATGAGCAGTGTGTGGGGAGGTGCATGAGGCAGTGTGGGGAGGTGCATGAGGCAGTGTGTGGGGAGGTGCATGAGGCAGTGTGTGGGGAGGTGCATGAGGCAGTGTGTTGGGAGGTGCATGAGTCAGTGTGTGGGAGGTGCATGAGCAGTGTGTGGGAGGTGCATGAGTCAGTGTGTGGGGAGGTGCATGAGGCAGTGTGTGGGGAGGTGCATGAGTCAGTGTGTGGGGAGGTGCATGAGTCAGTGTGTGGGGAGGTGCATGAGGCAGTGTGTGGTGAGGTGCATGAGTCAGTGTTGTGGGAGGTGCATGAGTCAGTGTGTGGGGGTGCATGAGTCAGTGTGTGGGGAGGTGCATGAGTCAGTGTGTGGGGAGGTGCATGAGGCAGTGTGTGGGGAGGTGCATGAGTCAGTGTGTGGGGAGGTGCATGAGTCAGTGTGTGGGGAGGTGCATGAGGCAGTGTGTGGGGGGTGCATGAGGCAGTGTGTGGGGAGGTGCATGAGGCAGTGTGTGGGGAGGTGCGTGAGTCAGTGTGTGGGGAGGTGCATGAGTCAGTGTGTGGGGAGGTGCATGAGGCAGTGTGTGGGAGGTGCATGAGGCAGTGTGTGGGGAGGTGCATGAGTCAGTGTGTGGGGAGGTGCGTGAGTCAGTGTGTGGGGAGGTGCATGAGTCAGTGTGTGGGGAGGTGCATGAGGCAGTGTGTGGGGAGGTGCATGAGTCAGTGTGTGGGGAGGTGCATGAGTCAGTGTGTGGGGAGGTGCATGAGGCAGTGTGTGGGGAGGTGCATGAGTCAGTGTGTGGGGAGGTGCATGAGGCAGTGTGTGGGGAGGTGCATGAGTCAGTGTGTGGGGAGGTGCATGAGTCAGTGTGTGGGGAGGTCATGAGTCAGTGTGTGGGGGAGGTGCATGAGTCAGTGTGTGGGGAGGTGCATGAGGCAGTGTGTGGGGAGTGCATGAGTCAGTGTGTGGGGAGGTGCATGAGTCAGTGTGTGGGGAGGTGCATGAGTCAGTGTGTGGGGAGGTGCATGAGCAGTGTGTGGGGAGGTGCATGAGTCAGTGTGTGGGGAGGTGCATGAGTCAGTGTGTGGGGAGGTGCATGAGTCAGTGTGTGGGGGAGGTGCATGAGTCAGTGTTGTGGGGAGGTGCATGAGTCAGTGTGTGGGGGAGGTGCATGAGTCGTGTGTGGGGAAGGTGCATGAGTCAGTGTGTGGGGAGGTGCATGAGTCAGTGTGTGGGGAGGTGCATGAGTCATGTGTGTGGGGAGGTGCATGAGTCAGTGTGTGGGGAGGTGCATGAGTCAGTGTGTGGGGGAGGTGCATGAGTCAGTGTGTGGGGAGGTGCATGAGTCAGTGTGTGGGGGAGGTGCATGAGTCAGTGTGTTGGGAGGTGCATGAGTCAGTGTGTGGGGAGGTGCATGAGTCAGTGTGTGGGGAGGTGCATGAGTCAGTGTGTGGGGAGGTGCATGAGTCAGTGTGTGGGAGGTGCATGAGTCAGTGTTTTGGGAGTGCATGAGTCATGTTGGGGAGGTGCATGAGTCAGTGTATGGAGGGAGGTCATGAGTCAGATGTGTGGGGAGGTGCATGAGTCATTGTGTGGGAGGTGATAGTCAGTGGGTAGAATGAAAGAGATAAAGCAGCTGAGATTAATGGGATAAATTTAAGCAGTGGCATTTATTTTTGGAATGGTTGGTGATATATAAATATGTTTGGAAAAGGAGAAGGTGTACCTTATGGAGCAGAGAGGTGTAGTTCTTGTATAAATGCAGAAGGGACAAAAGAGAGTGCAGAAATATAGGGAAATAGTTGCTTGAGTATTGGCAAGTGTATGGTAGAGTTATTATTGAAGGAATTGAGAGTTTAGAAGTTTGAGTGGTGCAGATGAAGCAAGGAGCTTGGGAAGGGTAGGAAGTGGGGTAGACAAGTGGATTACAGTGAAAATATATTGAACAGTATTTGAAATGATAAAGGGTTTTTGTGGATTAAGGATTTGGGAAAAGGCGTATGACAGAGTGGATAGGGAGTGCAATTGTGGGTCATGTGAAAATGATGAATAGGAGTAGGTTATTAAAGCAATGAAAAGTTTTTTTGAGGATATGAGACTCTGGGGTTAGAGTATGTAAGAGAGAGGGAAAATTTCATTAAAGGATGTGATGCTGCCATGGTTGTTCAATATATTATAGATGGATTTGAAGAAGTGATATGCCGGGGTTGCAAGAGGTGTGGGTTAAAAGATGAAGAATCTAACACAAAGTAGGAGTTGTCACAGTTGTTTTTTGCTGATGACACTATGCTTCTGGGAGATTCTGAAGAAAAGTTGCAGAGATTGGTGGATGAGTTTGGTAGGGTATGTAAAAGAAGAAAATTAAAAGTGAATATAAGAAAGACTAGGGTGATGAGGATTACAAAAAAAATAGGTAATGAAAGATTGAATATCAGATTGGATGGAGAGAGTATGGAGGAGGTGAATGTATTCAAATATTTAGGAGTGCACATGTCAGCAGATGGGTCTGTGAAAGATGAGGTGAATCATAGAATTGATGAGGGGGGGGAAAAAGGAAGTGTAACACTGACGAGTGTGTGAAGACAAAAAACGTTATCCATGGAAGCAAGTAGGGAAATTTATGAGAGTATAGTGGTATCAATATCATTACATGTGTGTGAGCCATGGATGGTGAATGTTGTAACAAGAAGGCTGGAGGCAGATAAGTTGTCATGTCTGAGGACAATGTGTGGTGTAAATATAATGCAGAGAATCTGTAGCTTGGAAATTAGGAGATGCAGTGTTTTTAAAAGTATTATACAGAGTTCAGAGGAAGGGATGTTGAGGTGGTTCTGACATTTAGAAAGGATGAAATAAAATGTTAAGACTTTGAGGGCATATAAATCTGTAGTGGAGGGAAGGCAGCGTAGGGTCATCCTGGTAAAAGTTGGAGAGATGGGTAAAGGAGATTTTGTGTGTGAGGGGCTTGGACTTTCAGCAAGCGTGCATAAGCGTGTTAGACAAGAGCCAGTGGAAACGATTTTTTTTTTATCACTTAATGTTCTATTAGAGCGTGAGCAAAGTAACATTTATGAAATGATTCAAGGCCAACCACTTCGAGGTATTTATTTCACCTCGCAGTTTCTTCACCTCCTCTGTTGTGTGCTGTGAGTCCAGCACTTGATGTGTACCCTACTCCCTCGGTTTGCTGAATGCTTCTCTGCCTCCACTGTGAATACCTCCTTGAATCTTGAGCTGAGCTCCTCACATAGTTCCTGGTCGGTCTCTGTGAGCTTCCTTCTTTTCCTCATCCTGATCACCTGGTCTTTGGCTGTTGTTTTTCTCCTGAAGTGGCTGAATAACAACTTTGGGCCAGATTTAGCTCTTGATGCTACATCATTCTCATATTACCATTGGGTCTCTCTCCTTATCCATTCAAATTCATTTCTGGCTCAATGGTGTGTGTGTGTGTGTGTGTGTGTGTGTGTGTGTGTGTGTGTGTGTGTGTGTGTGTGTGTGTGTGTGTGTGTGTGTGTGCGTGTGTGTGTGTGTGTGTATGTGTGTGTGTGTGTGTGTGTGTGTGCATGTGTGTGTGTGTTTGTGTGTGTGTGTGTTTGTGAGTACTCACTTATGAGGCCAGATCACAACGCAGGGGCGTTGACCCCCGAAATCCTCTCCAGGTATCTCTAGGTATTTGTGGTTGCAGGGGATCGAGTCACAGTTCCTGGCCCCGCCTCTTCGCTGGTCGCTACTAGGTACATTTTCTCCCTGCTCTAAGAGTTTTATCTTGCATCTTCTTAAAACTAAGTTTGCATTCTTCCTCCGCTACATCATTCTCCAGAATGTTCCACTTCCCACCAACTCTATAACTGAAGAAATACTTCCTAACATCCCGGTGACTCATCAAAGTTTTCAACTTTCAGTTGTGACCCCCTTTTGCGTTGTCTCATCTCTAAAACCTTCTGTCCCTGTCTAACTTCTCAATTCCTCTCAGTATTTTATACGTCGTTATTATGTCAACCCTATTCTTCCTGTCGTCCTGTGCTGTCAGATTAATTTCAATTAACCTCTCCTCACAGGACATTCCCTTCAGCTCTAGGACTAGTCTTGTTGCAAACCTTCCACGTTGGTTCTGCGCACCCGAAGATGGACCTGATGTAATGGTCGTATTGTGTCTTCAGTGATTCCTTACTTAGGCGTCGAAACGCTATTGTTAGGTTGCCGGCCATATGCTCCAGCAGTTATTTGGTTGATATGCTCCTTAAGGATGTTAGATATGATAGTACATGATACTGTTTCTTGAGTCAGATTTACAGCCTTTGATCCCCTAGCGTGTACTCCATCTGCGATCTTCTTTGACATTCCCCAGGTTAGAGAAAGAAGAAACAATTATATATTGCACATACTGGATGATAACTTCATAGAAAAACTCAAACAGAAATATGCAGAACAAAATCATGTCAGTCAATCAGCTGAAGGATGAAAGTGGATCCAAGAACTAGGACACAACACTCCAAAAAATCGGCAGTTAAATAAACTAACCACTTCCACATTACCTTGCTCTGCAGTAATCACCCTTGAGATCAGAGTAACTTCCAAACTGGGCTGTTACCACAGGAATCACAACTACAGCCGTTACAGCCATCAGCCCAACCCTCACTAGCAGTGACTGTGTATGTAGTGTTGGTCTTCTTGCTCTTGACTTCTTAAGGAGACTGTATGTCATGTTTATCAAGGTTGTCAGTGATTCCTCAGCAAAAGTGAGTCTGTGGGAAAAGAAAACATTAATAATAATATTATGTATTTCTTTAAGTACATAATACAGCTCACACAGATCTAGCTGATATCAGTGACACACTATATAGAAAGCCCTTTGTTACGCAGAACATATCGGATAAATTAGGTTAAATTTGGCCCTAGGATGCGATCCACACCAGTTTGCCAACCCCCAGGTACCTATTTACTGCTAAGTGAACATGGACAGCAGGTGTATTAAGGAAACTTCCAATGTTTCCACCCGTACCGGGGATCGAACCACGGACCTGTATGTGTGAACAGAGTGTACTACCAGCTGAGCTACGGGACACCTGAAAAATTGACACGAGCAGCATTTGGTTGTCCAAGGCGGATACTAACGAAACCCAGTGTTGGTTAACATGGCAGGTCAGACGAGAAGCTGTGTGTTCGACGTGGTACGGCCGTTGATGCAATTATTTCAGTATACAGTGGAACCTCGGTGTTGGACCATACCGGACCTCAAACAAACCGGAGTCCAAACGCACTGACTTGTTTAAAATTAAGTTGTAAAAACACTACAGGAAAGCCCTGTTTCAAAAATGCTTTAAAGTGACCTGTGACACTGACCTAACTCTAAGAGACTTTTAGAAGAGTCAGTTCAACATCCTCCAGTGTGTCAGACTTATAATTAAAAACTGGGAAAAATTCGAGGCTTCGGACATTGAACAAAAGTTCGATGTCGAAAGACTGGGGTTCCACTGTATATGTTGAAGGTCCTCTAATATATATATATTGTGCCGAATAGGTAAAAACTTGCTATTTTGGCTTAAATAGCAACGCTCTTCTTGCCGAATAAGGTAAGCAAAAATTTAGGTATGCAATAATTTCAGAAAAATCATTCTGAGCCTAACGAATGTATATATATATATATATATATTATTGTGTTTGTTTATGATTAAATTATTGTAAACTTATCTAAAATATATTTAGTTGGATTAGGCTAGGCAGGTAGTAGGTTGGTAGACAGCAACCACCCAGGGAAGTACTACCGTCCTGCCAGATGACTGTGAAACAGAATCCTGTAACTGTTTTACATGATGGTAGGATTGCTGGTGTCTTTTTCTGTCTCATAAACACGCTAGATAACAGGGATATCTTGCTACTCCTACTTACACTTTGGTCACACTTCACAGACACGCACATGCACATATATATACATACATCTAGGTTTTTCTCCTTTTTCTAAATAGCTCTTGTTCTTCTTTATTTCTTCTATTGTCCATGGGGAAGTGGAAAAGAATCTTTCCTCGGTAAGCCATGCGTGTCGTATGAGGCGACTAAAATGCCGGGAGCAATGGGCTAGTAACCCCTTCTATTGTAGACATTTACTAAAAAAGAGAAGAAGAAAAACTTTATAAAACTGGGATGCTTGAATGTGCGTGGATGTAGTGCGGATGACAAGAAACAGATGATTGCTGATGTTATGAATGAAAAGAAGTTGGATGTCCTGGCCCTAAGTGAAACAAAGCTGAACGGGGTAGGGGAGTTTCGGTGGGGGGAAATAAATGGGATTAAATTTGGTGTATCTGAGAGAGTTAGAGCTAAGGAAGGGGTAGCAGTAATGTTGAAGGATTAGTTATAGAAGGAGAAAACAGAATATAAATGAGTAAATTCAAGGATTATGTGGATTAAAGTAAAGGTTGGATGCGAGAAGTGGGTCATAATAAGCGTGTATGCACCTGGAGAAGAGAGGAATGTAGAGGAGAGAGAGAGATTTTGGGAGATGTTAAGTGAATGTATAGGAACCTTTGAACCAAGTGAGAGAGTAATTGTGGTAGGGGACCTGAATGCTAAAGTAGGAGAAACTTTTAGAGAGGGTGTGGTAGGTTAAGTTTGGGGTGCCAGGTGTAAATGATAATGGGAGCCCTTTGATTGAACTTTGTATAGAAAGGGGTTTAGTTATAGGTAATACATATTTTAAGAAAAAGAGGATAAGTATACAAGATATGATGTAGGGCGAAATGACAGTAGTTTGTTGGATTATGTATGGGTAGATAAAAGACTGTTGAGTAGACTTCAGGATGTACATGTTTATAGAGGGGCCACAGATATATCAGATCACTCTTTAGTTGTAGCTACACTGAGAGTAAAAGGTAGATGGGATACAAGGAGAATAGAAGCATCAGGTAAGAGAGAGGTGAAGGTTTGTAAACTAAAAGAGGAGGCAGTTAGGGTAAGATATAAACAACTGTTGGAGGATAGATGGGCTAATGAGAGCAAAGGCAATGGGGTCGAAGAGGTATGTGGTAGGTTTAAAAATGTAGTGTTAGAGTGTTCAGCAGAAGTTTGTGGTTACAGGAAAGTGGGTGCGGGAGGGAAGAGGAGCGATTGGTGGAATGATGATGTAAAGAGAGTGGTAAGGGAGAAAAAGTTAGCATATGAGAAGTTTTTACAAGGTAGAAGTGATGCAAGGAGGGAAGATTATATGAAGAAAAAGAGAGAGGTTAGGAGAGTGGTGAAGCAATGTAAAAAGAGCAAATGAGAGAGTGGGTGAGATGTTATCAACAAATTATGTTGAAAATAAGAAAAATTTTTGGAGTGAGATTAACAAGTTAAGGAAGCCTAGAGAACAAATGGATTTGTCAGTTAAAAATAGGAGAGGAGAGTTATTAAATGGAGAGTTAGAGGTATTGGGAAGATGGAGGGAATATTTTGAGGAATTGTTAAATGTTGATGAAGATAGGGAAGCCGTGATTTCGTGTATAGGGCAAGGAGGAATAACATCTTGTAGGAGTGAGGAAGAGCTAGTTGTGAGTGTGGGGGAAGTTCGTGAGGCAGTAGGTAAAATGAAAGGGGGTAAGGCAACTAGGATTGATGGGATAAAGATAGAAATGTTAAAAGCAGTGGGGATATAGTTTCGGAGTGGTTGGTGCTATTATTTAATAAATGTATTGAAGAGGGTAAGGTACCTAGGGATTGGCAGAGAGCATGCATAGTTCCTTTGTATAAAGGCAAAGGGGACAAAAGAGAGTGCAAAAATTATAGGGGATAAGTCTGTTGAGTATACCTGGTAAAGTGATGAATTGTTTGAAAAACCGACAAGTTGAAGATTGAGACACTTATGCAACATATGGGAATCTTTATTCAGACTGATGGACTGAACACATCGACTCCAGGCTAAGGGACTGATTACCTCAAACTCCTCCTCTCCTTACTCCTTTCTACTCTGTATTGGACTGATGAAGCCACTGTGTGGCGAAACGTTTCCTGAATAAAGATTCCCATATGTTGCATAAGTGTCTCAATCTTCCACCTGGTAAAGTGTATGGTAGAGTTATTATTGAAAGAATTAAGAGTAACAGATGAACAAGGAGGCTTTAGGAAAGGTAGGGGGTGTGTGGACCAGGTGTTTACAGTGAAATATATAAGTGAACAGTATTTAGATAAGGCTAAAGAGGTTTTTGTGGCATTTATGGATTTGGAAAAGGCGTATGACAGGGTGGATAGGGGGACAATGTGGCAGATGTTACAGGTGTATGGTATAGGAGGAAGGCTACTGAAAGCAATTAAAAGTTTTTACGAGGATAGTGAGGCTCAAGTTAGAGTATGTAGGAAAGAGGGAGATTATTTCCCAGTAAAAGTAGGTCTTAGACAAGGATGTGTGATGTGTTATGTGTGATGTTTAATATATTTATAGATGGGGTTGTAAGAGAAGTAAATGCGAGGGTCTTGGCAAGAGGCGTGGATTTAAAAGATAAGGAATCACACATAAAGTGGGAGTTGTCACAGTTGATCTTTGCTAATGACACTGTGCTCTTGGGAGATTCTGAAGAGAAGTTGCAGAGGTTGGTGGACGAATTTGGTAGGGTGTGTAAAAGAAGAAAATTAAAAGTGAATACAGGAAAGAGTAAGGTTATGAGGATAACAAAAAGATTAGGTGATGAAAGATTGGATATCAGATTGGAGGGAGAGAGTATGGAGGAGGTGAATGTATTCAGATATTTGGGAGTGGACGTGTCAGCGGATGGGTCTATGAAGGATGAGGTGAATCATAGAATTGATGAGGGGAAAAGGGTGAGCGGTGCACTAAGGAGTCTGTGGAGACAAAGAACTTTGTCCTTGGAAGCAAAGAGGGGAATGTATGAGAGGTATAGTATTAAATACAACGCTCCAGTATGGTGTAAGCGATGGGTGATGAATGTTCATGAAGAAGTCTGGAGGCAGTGGAATGTCATGACTGGGGAGGCAATGTGAGGTGTGAATTATAATGCAGAGAATTCGTAATATGGAAGTAGGATGAGTGCGAATTTGCCAAACTGTTGTCCAGGTAGGGCTGAGGAAGAGTTTGTTGAGTGGTTCGGACAGTAGAGAGAAATTGCAGCGAAACAGAAATGACTCAAGAGTGTATCAGTCTATAGAGGTAGGAAGGCGGGGATAGGGGTAGGCCCAAGGAAAGGTTGGAGGGAGGGGGTAAAGGATTTTTTGTGTGCGAGGGGCTTTGGACTTCCAGCAGGCATGCGTGAGCGGTTTGATAGGAGTGAATGTAGACACATGTTTTTAATACTTGACGTGCTGTTGGAGTGTGAGCAAAGCAACATTATGACGGGGTTCAGGAAACCGGCAGGCCGGACTTGAGTCCTGGAGATGAGAAGTACAGTGCCTGCACTCTGAAGGAGGGGTGTTAATGTTGCAGTTTAAAAACTTCTGGCAAGAGAGTGATGGAGTGAATGATGGTGAAAGTTTTTCTTTTTCGGGCCACCCTGCTTTGGTGGGAATTGGCCAGTGTGTTAATAATAATAAAATGAGTCTAAATAAAACTGCACTGTTAAAATAAGGTTAGGTAAGTTTTCTAAGGTTGTTTTGGTACAAAATTATTAATTTTTACATTAACATAAATGAAAAAAATATATCTCTAAAAGTATAAAAGAAATTATAAAAAAGGACTTAATTTTAAAATGAGTTCTTAACAAGAAAAAAACTGTCCAGTTTATAACCTATACACACTACCTTAAAATATATAAAATTATATATATAATATATATAGTAATATATATATATAAATATATATATATATATATTATATATATATATAATATATATATATTATAAATATATATATAGTATATATATAATATATAAATACAGTATATACCAGACACAGTCACAATATATAGATTATATACAATATGTAGAACAGCCAATATGAAAAAATACTTTACGTTTAAATGCTTTTGCGATTTCTGACTTTATGAAGGCTGGGTAAAAATAATGGAGCAGCAACAGATGGCGCTGGTGAGACGGTCCAGCACTTGTCAAACATAGCTTATTAATTCTTCTCATGTTTTAAGATTTTAACTTGTCTAATATATATATTTAAGTATTCCCAAATTTTAATAATAAATTTTTGAACCTAATTTTTATAATCCAAAACCAATATTCATATTAAATTTAATACTATTTGATAGGAAGCTTGTTTCTGTTATCTTTCTCTCCACCATGGACCTGCTTGACACCACTTTCTCTCACCATGACCTGCTGCCACAACTTTCTCTCCACCATGGACCTGCTTGACACAACTTTCTCTCAACCATGGACCTGCTTGACACAACTTTCTCTCAACCATGGACCTGCTTGACACAACTTTCTCTCAACCATGGCCCTGCATTACCAAACAACTTTACTCTCAACCAGACCTCTTGACACAAACTTTCTCTCACACCATGACCTGCTTGACACAACATTCTCTCAACCATGGACCTGCTTGACACAACTTTCTCTCAACCATGGACCTGCTTGACACAACTTTCTCTCCACGCATGTACCTGTCTGTGACACAACTTTCTCGCCACCTGTACCTGCTTTTGAACACATACTTTACTCTCCACCATGACCTCCTTGACACAACTTTCTCTCCACCATGGTACCCTGTATAAACAACAACTTTCTCTCAACCATGGACCTGCTTGACACAACTTTCTCTCAACCATGGACCTGCTTGACACAACTTTCTCTCAACCATGGACCTGCTTGACACAACTTTCTCTCAACCATGGACCTGCTTGACACAACTTTCTCTCAACCATGGACCTGCTTGACACAACTTTCTCTCAACCCACCATGGACCTCTTTGAACTACAAACTTTTCTCTCAACCATGGACCTGCAGACACAACTTTCCTCAACCGAAGGACCAGCTTGACACAACTTACTCTCAACCATGGACCTTGCTTTACACATCTTTCTCCTCAACCATGGACCTGCTTGACACAACTTTCTCTCAACCATGGACCTGCTTGACACAACTTTCTCTGCCAACCATGGACCTGCTTGACACAACTTTCTCTCCACCATGGACCTGCTTGACACAACTTTCTGTCAACCATGGACCTGCTTGACACAACTTTCTCTCAACCATGGACCTGCTTGACACAACTTTCTCTCAACCATGGACCTGCTTGACACAACTTTCTCTCCAACTATGGCCTGCATGACACAACTTTCTCTCAACCAAGGACCTGCTTGACACCAACACTCCTCAACCATGACCGCTTGACAACAACTTTGTTCTCTCAACCATGGACCTGCTTGACACAACTTTCTCTCAACCATGGACCTGCTTGACACAACTTTCTCTCAACCATGGACCTGCTTGACACAACTTTCTCTCAACAAGGACCTGCTTGACACAACTTTCTCTCAACCATGTGACCTGCTTGACACAACTTTCTCTCAAACCATGACCTGCTTTACACAACTTTCTCTCAACCAGGACCTGCTTGACCACCCAACTTTCCTCATCAACCATCGACCTCCTTGCACAACTTTCTCTCAACTGATGACCTGTCTGACCACAACTTTCTCTCAACCCTGTACCGCTGCTCACACAACTTCTCTCAACCATGGACCTTGCTTAGACACAACTTTCTCTGAAACCATGAACCTGCTTCACACAACTTTCTCTCAACCATGGACCTGCTTGACACAACTTTCTCTCAACCATGGCCCTGCTTGACACAACTTTCTCTCAACCATCGACCTGCTTGCACATCTTTCTCTCAACCATGGACCTGCTTGACACAACTTTCTCTCAACCATGAACCTGCTTGACACAACTTTCTCTCAACCATGGACCTGCTTGACACAACTTTCTCTCAACCATGGACCTGCTTGACACAACTTTCTCTCAACCATGGACCTGCTTGACACAGACTTTCTCTCAAAACCATGACGCTTGACACAAATTCTCTCAACCATGACCTGCTTGACACAACTTTCTTCTCCAGCCATGGACCTGCTTGCCAAACAACTTTCTCTCAACCATGGACCTGCTTGACACAGCTTTCTCTCAACCATGGACCTGCTTGACACAGCTTTCTCTTAACCATGAACCTGCTTGACACAACTTTCTCTTAACCATGAACCTCCTTAAAACAACTTTCTCTCAACCACGAACCTGCTTGACACAGCTTTCTTTCAACCATGGACCTCTTGACACAGCTTTCTCTTGAACATGGACCTGCTTGACACAACTTTCTCTTAACCATGAAACTACTTGACACAACTTTCTCTCAGCTATGGACCTGCTTGACACAGCTTTCTCTTAACCATGAACCTGCTTGACACAGCTTTCTCTCAACCATGGACCTGCTTGACACAACTTTCTCTCAACCATGAACCTGCTTGACACAAACACGCTCTCCATCCATGGACCAGGCTTGTCACAACTACTCTCACCATGAACTGCCTTGACACAACTTTCACTCAAAACCAAGGACCTGCTTGACACAACTTTCTCTCAACCATGGACCTGCTTGACACAGCTTTCTCTTAACCTGAACCGCTTGACACAACTTCTCCTAACCATGAAACCGTCCTAAAAACCAACTTTCTCTCAACCAACGAACCTGCTTGAACACAGGCTTTCTTTCAAAACCATGGACCTGCTTGACACAGCTTTCTCTTGACCATGGACCTGCTTGACACAACTTTCTCTTAACCATGAACCTACTTGACACAACTTTCTCTCAGCTATGGACCTGCTTGACACAGATTTCTCTTAGCCATGAACCTGCTTGACACAGCTTTCTCTCAACCATGGACCTGCTTGACACAACTTTCTCTCAACCATGAACCTGCTTGGACACAAGCACTGCTCTCAACCAGGACCTGCTTGACACAACATTCTCTCAACCATGAACCTGCTTGACACAACTTTCTCTCAACCATGGACCTGCTTGACACAACTTTCTCTCAACCATGGACCAGCTTTACACAATTTTCTCTCAACCATGGACCTGCTTGACACAACTTTCTCTCAACCATGGACCTGCTTGACACAACTTTCTCTGAACCATGAACCTGCTTGACACAACTTTCTCTCAACCATGACCTCCTTATGGACACAACTTTCTCTCAACATGGACCCTGCTTGACACAACTTTCTCTCAAACTGGACCTGCTTGATGCAACTTTCTTCTCTCAACCATGGACCTGCTTGACACAACCTTCTCTCAACCATTGACCTGCTTGACACAGCTTTCTCTCAAGCATGGACCTGCTTGACACAACTTTCCCTCTCAACCATTGACCGCCATGACACATTTCTCTCAACCACGGACCGTCTTTGACACAACTTGTCTCTCAACATGGACCAGCTTGACACAACTTTCCTCTCACCATGGACCTGCTTGACACAACTTTCTCTCAACCATGGACCTTGCTTGGCACAACTTTCTCAAAACATTACCTGCTTGACAGCAACTTTCTCTCAATTATGACCGCCATGACATATAACAACTTTCTCTCGAACCATGAACGTACCTTTAACACAACTTTCTCCAACCATGGACCTGCTTGGACACAACTTTCTTCTCAATCAAGAACCTGCTTGACACAACATTCTCTCAACGCATGGACCTGCATTGACACAAACTTCTAATCTTCAACCATGAACCTGCTTTACTCAAGCTAACTCGTCAACCATTGACAGCTTACCCCACTTATCTTTCCTCTCAACCATGGACCTGCTTGACACAACTTCTCTTCAACCATGGACCCTCTTGCATGAAACACAAACTGCTCCAAACCATTTACCTGCTTGACACAACTTCTCTCAATCGTGGACCTGCATGACACAACTTTCTCACACCAACATGGACCTGCTTGACACAACACTCTCACAAACATGGAAGCCCTGCTTGACACAACTTTCTCTCCAACCATGACGTGCCTTGACACAACTTTCTCTCAACCTTGACCTGCTTGACACAACTTCCTCTCAATCATGAACCGTGCTTTACAGAACGTTCTCTCAAACCATGGACCTGCTGACGAAAACTTTCTCTCATCCATGAACCGCTTGACTCAACTTTCCTTCAACCATGGGACTGCTTGACACAACTTTCTCTCTAAATCCATGGACCCAGGTTGACCCAACTTCTCTCAACCATGGACCTGCATGACACAACTTTCTCTCAACCATTGACCTGCTTGACACAACTTTCTCTCAACCACGGACCTCTTTGACACAACTTTCTCTCAACCATTGGACTCTGCTTACACATCTTTCTACTCAACCATTGACGCTGCTTGACGACAACTTTCTCTCAACCATGACCTGCTTGGCACAACTTTCTCAACCATGAACCTGCTTGACACAACTTTCTCTCAATTATGGACCTGCTTGACACAACTTTCTCTCAACCATGGGTCTGCTTGACACAACTTTCTCTCAACCATGGACCTGCTTGACACAACATTCTCTCAACCATGGACCTGCTTGACACAACTTTCTCTCAACCATGGAACCTGCTTGAATACAAAACTTTCTCGTCACCAATGGACCTGCTTGACCACAAACTTTTCTCACAACCATGGACCTGCTTGATCAACTTTCTCTCAAACAATGAACCCTTCTTGAACAACTTTCTCTCAAACATGGACCTGTCTTGACACATGACCTTTCCTCTCACCAGGACCCGCTTGACACAAACTTTGTCTCAACCTGGACCTGCTTGACACAAGTTCTCTCACCATGGATCTGCTTGACACAACTTTCTCTCAACCATGTCCTGCATGACAGCAACTCTCTCACCATGACCTGCTTGACACAACTTTTTCTCCACAATGAAACCTGCTTTGACGCAACTTTCTTCTCAAACCTGACCTGCTTGAACACAACTTTATCTCAACAAGGACCTCTTTGAACACAACTTTCCCTCAACCCATTGGACCTGCTTGAACAACATTCTCTCAACCATGGACCTGCTTGACTCAACTTTCTTCTCAACAATGAACCTGCTTGACACAAATTCTCTCAACCATGGACCTGCTTGACACAACTTTGTCTCAACCATGGACCTGCTTGACACAACTTTCTCTCAACCATGGACCTGCTTGACACAACTTTCTCTCAACCATGGACCTGCTTGACACAACTTTCTCTCAACCATTGGACCTGACTTTGAACACAACTTTTGTCTCAACACTGAACCTGCTTGAACACAACTATTACCTCACCATGGACCGACTTTTCCAAAACTTTCCCTCTAACCATGGACCTGCTTGACACAACCTTTCCTCAAACCATGGACCTGCTTGACACCAACTTTCTCTCACATGGACCTTCTTGCAACAACTTTCTCAAATCCATGAACCGCTTGACACAACTTCTCTCCATATGGGAACTGCTTGACACAACTTTCTCTCAACCATGGACCTGCTTGACACAACTTTTTCTCAACAATGAACCTGCTTGACACAACTTTCTCTCAACCATGGACCTGCTTGACACAACTTTCTCTCAACCATGGACCTGCTTGACACAACTTTCTCTCAACCATGGACCTGCTTGACACAACTTTCTCTCAACCATGGACCTGCTTGACACAACTTTCTCTCAACCATGGACCTGCTTGGCACAACTTTCTCAACCATGAACCTGCTTGACACAACTTTCTCTCAATTATGGACCTGCTTGACACAACTTTCTCTCAACCATGGACGTGCTTTGACACAACTTTCTCAACCATGGACCTGCTTGAACTCCAACTTTCTCTCAATCATGAACCTGCTTGACACAACTTTCTCTCAACCATGGACCTGCTTGACACAACTTTCTCTCAACCATGAACCTGCTTGACTCAACTTTCTCTCAACCATGGACCTGCTTGACACAACTTTCTCTCAACCATGGACCTGCTTGACACAACTTTCTCTCAACCATGGACCTGCTTGACACAATCTTCTCTCAACCATTTACCTGCTTGACACAACTTTCTCTCAATCATGGACCTGCTTGACACAACTTTCTCTCAACCATGGACCTGCTTGACACAACTTTCTCTCAAACATGAAACCTGCATGACCCACTTTCTCCTTCCAACGCAAGGACGTGCTTGACACAACTTTCTCTCAACCATGGACCTGCTTGACACAACTTTCTCTCAATCATGAACCTGCTTGACAGAACTTTCTCTCAACCATGGACCTTCTTTGAACACAACTTTCTCCATCATGAACCTCTTGACTCAACATTCTCGTCAACCATGGACCTGCTTGACACAACTTTCTCTCTACCATGGACCTGGTTGACACAACTTTCTCTCAACCATGGACCTGCTTGACACAACTTTCTCTCAACCATTGACCTGGCCTGACACAACTTTCTCCTCACTCAAAACGGACCTCTTTGACACAACTTTCTCTCAAACCATGTACCTGTCTTGACGACAACTTTCTCTCAACCCTGGACCTGCTTACACAACTTTCTCTCAAACCATGTACCTGCTGGCACAACTTTTCTCAACCATGAACCTGCTTGAACACAACTTTCCTCATCATTATGGACCTGCTTGACACAGCAGGAACTTCTCTCAACCATGGGTCTGCTGACACAACTGTTCTCTCCACCACGACCTGCTTGACACAACATTCTCCTCAACCATGGACCCTGCTTGACACAACTTTCTCTCAACATGAACTGCTAGAATAAACTTTCTCTCAACCAGGACTGCTTGACACAACTTTCTCTCACCATGGTCCTGCTATGAACTCAACTTTCTCTCAACAATGAACCTGCTTGGAACTCATACTTGCGCCTCACCATGGACCTGCCTGCTTGACACACTTTCTCTCAACCATGGACCTGCTTGACACAACTTTGTCTCAACCATGGACCTGCTTGACACAAGTTTCTCTCAACCATGGACCTGCTTGACACAACTTTCTCACAACCAAGGTCCTGCTTGACAACAACTTTCTCTCACCCTTGACCTTGCTTGACACAACTTTTTCTCAACAATGAACCTGCTTGACACAACTTTCTCTCAAACCTGGACCTGCTTGACACAACTTTCTCTCAACCAAGGACCTCTTTGACACAACTTTCTCTCAACCATGGACCTGCTTGACACAACTTTCTCTCAACCATGGACCTGCTTGACTCAACTTTCTCTCAACAATGAACCTGCTTGACACAACTTTCTCTCAACCATGGACCTGCTTGACACAACTTTGTCTCAACCATGGACCTGCTTGACACAACTTTCCCATCAACCATGACCTGCATGACAAACAACTTTCTCTCAACCATGGTCCTGCTTGACACAACTTTCTCTCAACCATGGACCTGCTTGACACAACTTTTTCTCAACAATGAACCTGCTTGACACAACTTTTCTCAACCATGGACCTGCTTGACACAACTTTCTCTCAACCATGGACCTGCTTGACACAACTTTCTCTCAACCATGGACCTGCTTGACACAACTTTCTCTCAACCATGGACCTGCTTGACACAACTTTCTCTCAACCATGGACCTGCTTGACACAACTTTCTCCCAACCATGGACCTGCTTGACACCACTTTTTTTCTCTCAACAATGAACCTGCTTGACACAACTTTCTCCGGGGGATGCTCACCATGGAACCTGTTGACAACAACTTACTTTCAACCATGGACCTGCTTGACACAACTTTCTCTCAACCATGGACCTGTTTGACACAACTTTCTCTCAACCTTGGACCTGCTTGACACAACTTTCTCTCAACCATGGACCTGCTTGACACAACTTTCTCTCAACCATGGACCTGCTTGACACAACTTTCAACCATGGACCTGCTTGACACAAATTTCTCTCAACCATGGACCTGCTTGACACAACTTTCTTTGAACAATGAACCTGCTTGACACAACTTTCTCTCAACCATGGACCTCCTTGACACAACTTTTTCTCAACAATGAACCTGCTTGACACAACTTTCTCTCAACCATGGACCTGCTTGACACAATTTTCTTTCAACCATGGACCTGCTTGACACAACTTTCTCTCAACCATTGGACCTGCTTGACACAACTTTCTCTCAACCATGGACCTGCTTGACACAAAATTCTCTCAACCAACCATGGACCTGCTTGACACAACTTTCTCTGAACAATGAACCTGCTTGACACAACTTTCTGTCAACCATGGACCTGCTTGACACAACTTTCTCTCAACCATTGACCTGCTTGACACAACTTTCTCTCAACCATGGACCTGCTTGACACATCTTTCTCTCAACCATGGACCTGCTTGACACAACTTTCTCTCAACCATGGACCTGCTTGACACAACTTTCTCTGAACAATGAACCTGCTTGACACAAAATTCTCTCAACCAACCATCGAGCTGCTTGACACCACTTCTCTGACAATAACCTGCTTGACACAACTTTCTGGTCACCATGGACCTGCTGACACAACTTTCTCTCAACCATGGACCTGCTTGACACAACTTTCTCTG